TCTCTCTCTCTCTGTGTGTGTGTGTGTGTGTGTGTGTGTGTGTGTCCGTATATAGATATGAGTCGGTGAAACTCGAACAGTTTGTCACAGCCCCTCGTTTGTTGTCCTCTTCTCCTTCTCTGCCTACGGTTTACCGGGTAGCTATGTTTGACTATATATACATAAGATATTTATTTATATACATATATATAGTCAAACAGAGCTGCCCGGTAAACCGTAGGCAGAGAGGGATGTGTACATTGAGGATATATACATACGACATATACACAGCCCCTCGTTTGTTGTCCTCTTCTCCCTCTCTGCCTACGGTTACCGGGCAGCTCTGTTTGACGATATATGTGTGTGTGAGTGTGTTTGGATGTGAGTTTGCTCATCACACATATACTACTACACTATGCCTTGATTACGACAGGCCGCCTCTCCCCTGCTCTCTCTCTCTCTCTCTCTCTCTCTCTCTCTCTCTCTCTCTCTCTCACACACACACACACACACACACACACGCACACACACACCCACACACACCCACACACACAAATACACACACACGCACAGGCACAGGCATCATATCTCTCTCTCAAAAAAAAAAAAAAACTACGCATCGTCCTCCTCCTGCTCCCGCTCCTCCCTGCTCCTGCCTCTCCTCCTCCCTCTCCTGCCTCTCCTCCTCCTCCCGCTCCTCTTACTCCCTCCCGCTCTGCTTCCTCCCTCCCGCTCCTCTACTCCGCACCCTCCCTCCTTGCTCCGATCTCTTCCATTCCTCCTCCTCCTCCACCATCTCCTCCGTTGCCTCCACTTCCTCATCACCACCTCCTCCCGCTCCTGCTCCTTCCGCTCCTTCCACTCCCGCTCCTCCTGCTGCTCCCTCTCCTCCTCCTCCTGCTCCTTTACTGCCTCCTCCCGCTCCTCTATTCCTTGTCCCCCATCCTTGCTTGGGTCCTCTTCCTTCCATCCTCCTCCTCCACCTCCTATTCCTCCTCCTCCTCTCTTCCTCCTCTTCCACTTCCTCCGCTTCCTCACCCTCTCCTCCTCATCTCATCCGTTTTCTTGTCGCTCGTCGTCCTATCCACCCTCCTCAGATTCATCGTCATCCTCCCCCTGTCGTCTTCCGTTCCCCCTCCCGCTCTTCTTGCTGCTCCTTTTCGTCCTCCTCCTCCCGCTCCTCTTCCTCTATGTCATCCCCCCCTCCTCCTCCCACTTCCCCTCTTCCTCCTGCTTCTCCTCCTCGCACTCCCCTCCTGTTGGTCATCCGTCCCCTGGGCAAAAAAAAAAAAAGTTCCATCAGTCAGAATGTATCTGGTTCTCAAAACCATCCAGATACGTGTCAAATACTAAGTGGCCCCTCCTCCTCCGCTCCTTTTCCTCCCAAGTCCTCCAAGCTCCTCCTCTACCTCCCAATTGTCCTCCTCCCCCTCCTCTTCCCGTTCCTCATGCTCCCACTCTTCCTCCTCCCACCTGCCTGTGCACTCTCGGATACACATGCAATCGGTCACAAAAGAAAAGCCCTTTGGACACTTTGGCCCTGTTCTCAAACCTTCGCACTGCGGCCTCCCCTCTCCTGCACAACTTCAAGGCCCCGTACATGCACGATCGAAAAAAAGGAAAAAAGGTCACGACCCGTGTACATTGAAAAAAAAGGATTCCTCCCATAGAACATGCCATACACTGCCATATTTTTTGTTTTTTGCTTATAGAAGGATACGAGTGCACTGAGGCTATATGCTTGTATTCGAACATGACACCCGAAGAACACTCGTTCGTTCACAGAATGACCAGAGTGAAAACCCAACAAAAACGGGCCCGAACCCTTGACACTTCCCACGGCCAGTGGTGTCCCACCCCGCCGATTTCCGTGGGCCCACAGAGTTCTTTTCGCCCTTAGTGTGCCCGAAGCGTTATGCGGGGCCCGGGTTTACTTCTGATAACATAGAGAAAAGAAAGGGGGAAAAAAGAGCACGTTTCTCTCCTTCTGCCTCTGTTCTCTTTGTTTTTTCTTCCATCGTTTTAATATTTTCCTCGCCTCCCGACACTTCACGGAAACGGACCACAGAGTTCTTTTTGCCCTTAGTGTGCCCAAGAGCACAACCAAATAAAGCAACGAATTGACACCTACCTGCCCAGGTTGACCCTTGCCATGCCATTGACACCCAACTGTCGTGACTGAACCCTTGCCATGCAATACAGATCCCACAAGACATCTGGCCAGACTACCGTCTTCCACCGAACATAACGCACCCTGATTCTGAATATATGCAAGCTATCTTTCCGGTCCTGTGCAGGCAAAATCAGGGTGTGTTGTGTTCGGGGAATACGCTAGTGTTTTCAGCACACCTTGAACCAGACATGCCCCAGTATACACCCACAGACTCGTTCCAAGAGTCTTCTTTCCTTGCTCACCTGTCCTAACAGAGAAGGGTCCGATAACAGTGTTTGCATCATCTGATTCATTGCTGGGCTCTGAAGAACCTGCTGCATGGCAGGGTTTTGCAACATTTGCAACATTGTAGCAGGGTCCATCAACCCAATCTCTGGGAGCAATCCAAAGGGGGTTGCTCCAACTCCAGCAGAGCCCATAGTCGTGGTCATTGTCGCTGTAGTTGTGGCCGACCCAGGAGTTGTGACACCTCCAGCCGTGGCTGTAGTTATCCCTGCCGATGCCGTCCCTGCAGGGGTCCCTGCAAAGGGCCGCACAGCCATTCAGATGAAAAGCAGAACACACATAAATATCTCTGCGTCATTAACAGACTGCTCAACGGACCTCCCACAATCCCCTTTTCACTCTGCACAGGTGCAGTAAAAAGAAAAGAACAAAGAAAACAGAACAGAACAGCGGCACAATTACCTTTCCATTGAGAAAGCATGACCATCACAGGGGGAGCAAGAGATAGGCCCCACTGCGCTCTGGCCAGGTCTTCGTAGAGAAGTCTGAGCGTCACAAACAGAAATTTCTGATGTAAGGCAAGGGATTTCAAAACCTTCCTTAGTGGGCATCCGATTCCACCCCTAACCAGCTACCCACGTGGCCAGAGTCAGGTTGGCCCTACACAGGGTTGGCAGCCCGCAGGAGAGGGATGCCAAATTCGAGAGTCCCCAATATTTTATGTTATTTCCTTCAACACGAACAACAAACGTTTTCAAAAAAACAAAAAAAAACAAAGAGAAGAAGAAGAAGAAGAATACTTCGGAAAATGCCTGACAAGAGAATCCCAATGCAAATGTGATCTAGGTAACGATGTCCGCTTGGCCAGGCTGCTAGGACCGGGCAGGAGAGGGGGAATCCGCCAGGCCAAATGAAAGTCCATTTTCGGTGAAATGTGGAAGAGAGAGGGTGTGTGTGTGTGTGTTTTTTTTTTGGGGGGGGGGGGGGCGCTGGACGATGGCCGGGGAGGCTGGTGCACACCATGAACGAGGTACACCACCCTTAAACAATGAACTTGCATGGCCACACTGGATCTGCACTGAAAGTTCACTAGAGTTATCACGAAAGAGCAAGTACTGTGAGGCTCTCGCCCTCAGCAAGCCTCAAAAGGGGCCGCTAATAGAATATATGTCCAGCCCTAAGTGAAGGCCGCAGCAAGGAAAGCATACCAGCTGAAAGAGTAGGCGGACCCCAGCCTCTCCAACTAACCCGTAGGCCCCACCTCTGCGTTAGTTGCAGAGGCTGGGACCCAGGCCCAGTAGATACTCAGTTTCTCAGCACATGGCCTCCAGTAAGCCACGAAAGGAAGGAGGCCGTAGCATTTAACACATTCGGAGACACTGGCCGCCAGCACTATCTGTGACTCCGTGCACAGCAGGCCAGTCCACTGCTGAGGAGGTGGAAGTGGCGAGTAGCAGCCACAGCAAGCTGCTCCACTCAATAGCCGCCATAGCTTCACTGGGAGACAAAGTGAGTTGGTCTCAGAGTTCAAGAGGACAGACAGGAGGAGCACACCTGGGGTGCTCAGACTCTACAGCATTGCTGACCGAGAGGATAGTGGACACAGACAGAGTGTGTAGTAGGAGAGGAGTAGACTGAGAAAAGTCAGTACAAGATCAATATAGAGAAGAGTGAGTTCGAGCGTACCAGATCTCATACTTGGGTCATGAAATATCTGAGGAAGGTCTAAGGCCAAAGGATACAGAGGTAGTGGACACTAAAGACTGGCTGCGGTGTCAGCCTGTGACTATGCGCAGATCATTCTTGGGGTTGACTGGCTACTATAGGCCATTTGTAAAGAATTACAGCACTCTAGCTGCCTCCTTGACTGATCTGACCCGCCTTGACCCCTTGGGATTGGACTAGGCAGTTTGAGTGGGATTTCAAGCAATTGAAATCTGCTCTGATTCATCCTGTCCTGAAGATTGCAGATCCCTATACGCCAACAAAAAAAAAGGCAGTCAGTAAAATCCTGAAACAGACAGTCAACACGGTGGTCTCAACCCATCCTCATGGACACAGTTAGCAAAATCCTCTGGGACACGCTTTGCAAAATCCACACAAGCCGTCCAACAGGACACCCAGAAGAGACATGCATAGACTCCGAAGAGCACTGACACATGTAATCACTCGAAACCAATGCACTTCTGCCCATCCTCGTGTTGTCAGAATCCGGATGGTCATCCAGAACAATCCCATTTCTGCACCCCTTCTTGCAATTCTTCTCTCCATCTGTTCTCTTCTTCAGTGGTGATATCGCCGCCCCTTTCCCCTTGCCAAGTGTCATCCTCAACCCCCCTTGCATGGCCTGCCTCAACCGATTGTCATGCTAGGCGCCCAAGTTTCTAGCGGGTAAGGTTCCAACAAATCCGATTCTATTGTCACCTCTACAATGCTCTAATGGCCTGTGTGCATACACCGCTGTTGTGTGAGGTTGCTTCTCTTGCTCTCCATCGTCCTGCTGGAGCAACTGCTGGTCAGCATGCCCCTGCTGCTGCTGCTCTTGCTGTTGATGCTCCAGCTTCTGCTTCTGTCGCTCTTGCTGCTGCTGCTCTCGCTGTTGCACGCTTCTCATGCAGCTGCTGCTGCTGAGCCTCCCTTCGAACTGGCACTGTCACACGCCTAGCCTCCTCTTCCATGATACGCCTCCCCACATGACTACGGTCATGGTCTCCCATAGCGCTGGCTGCTGATCTCACTGACAGACAATGAATCCACCTCCTCCAAACCTTCGTGAATCCTCTCTTTCGGAACCTTTTCTCGTGGTTTTGCCTTGCAATCTTCTCCTCTCTCTCCTTCACAGGCCCAGGCAGCAATGACCCGTTGTCTGCTCACTCCGACAAGGGCTAAAAAAAAGGCTCACACGTCAAGGCAGTCATCCATTGGACTCTTCAAAACCTGCGACTCGCACATTCCAATGGATATAAACCAGTTTCTCCGAAGTGTCGCTTGACAATAGTTTCTCCTTTTGGAGCGGACAAAGTTCACGAAGCCCACTTTTTCTCTGCAGGACTGGCCATGCTCCACATGCCCATGACTCTCACGGCAACCATCTGGGAATCAAGATGCTGGCTACGATGTGCGCTGCCCACCAAGTGGAACCGGAACAGTTTAGACAGTCAATCCTAACAGCATGATGAACAGGCCTGCTAGGAGGCCTGGGAAAACTTGTTCCTGCAGAGTTCACTCTTCGGAGAGAAGCAGAGAACTGGGCAGCCTCACTGCAGCCCCCAATTAAACACAACCCAGCTCAGATAAGATTTTTGATCTCTCTACTGTCATCTGGATAGTGCAGACAACGATCCAGCAACAGGTTATCTTGCCCTGCACAGACATTAGGGACTGTGTCGAACGACGACCTTGAGTCAGAATTCCCTAGCTCATCCTCCACTCCTGAAGGCGACAATTTTGCATCTCCGACCATTATGCGGACGATTCGGCCACCAGCCTGAGGGATCTTCAACCATTGCCACAGCAACTCTCGAAAATTGGAACAAGTCGACGCGCTGCAGCAGGCCGTGCAGCCACAGCCTTCCAGCTTATCTGGTCAGAGTACTTACAAGTTGCCCAAGTTGGATAACATCCTTCATTGAAGATTATAGCAAGACCAACCTGGTTCAGTGGTGGCATTCATTCACTTTGGTCCAAGTCCTTGCATAAGACCCAAAGGACTATCGGATTGCGTCTACACGAACATGAAGCATACGTGTTCTGCGGCATTTCCCCATTATATTTATACCCCGTCTTAGATGTGAATTCCCTGTACCCATTCCCAGCAGACAACTTACATCTATGCCCAAACCCTGTCCAACTTAAAACCACCAGTACACCCGACCCTAGATGTACGAACCCAGACAACTTACATCTATGCCCAAACCCTGTCCAACTTAAAACCACCAGTTGAATTTTGCCGAGCCTGAAAGCCATGGGCACCAGCTCTTGGAAAATTAGGGTGGTACCGGTACCGGCCTCTGTGCTGGACCTGCTGTCAGGTGATGGAATGAAAAGGAGGCCGCTGTTTTCACTCCTTGACACCCAGCCAAACACCCACAGGAGAGAGCACCCGCATGTAGCACATATTGGGTGCCAGATGCAGGCGCTTCATCATGAATGGCTGCCTGTTTGCAAAACAAGCCGTGGCTGGAGCACTTTACTTTTCTGCACCCGTATGCAGACACAGAATGGGCGTGGAAACATAATCTGTGAATCACTGCATACTTGCCTACAGCGGGCGTTTCTGCCCTTTTTCCTGAAGTTTGAGGGCTTTCTGCCCTCGTATAGTGCATGCCCGCCATGTGGCGGGCCTTTTGCCACTGTTCCTTTTGTTTCAGTTTTTTTTTTTTTTTTTTTTT